ATTTAATTCGTTCGCTTGAGAGTTAAGAGTATTTTGGCTCCAAGACAAATGCCGTCTCAATAATAGAAACAATAAATTAAAAATAAAAAAAAATAAAATAAAATAATAAATAATAATACCTAATTAAATAATAATAATAATAATGCTAATAATAATAGCAATAATAATGATAATAGTAATAATAATAATTATATGAGGAGGCAGAGCTGCTGCTGCTGCTGCTGCAGCAGCAGCAGCAGCCCCTGCTGCAGCTTCCGCTGCTGCTTACCTATCGGGGGACTCCGGGGGCAGAAACTGGGGGAATACAAGAGGCTGCTTCGGCAGCAGCAGCTCCAGGTGCATGCTGCGCCCCTCAGATGGCTGCTGCTGCTGCTGCTGCAGCATCTGCTGCTGCTGCAGCAGCTGCTGCTGCGAGGGCTCCGCGAGTCCCGCAGCAGCTCCAGGAGATGTCCCCGTTGCTGCGGCTGCAGCAGCAGCAGCTGCTGCTGCTGCGGGCGCTGCTGTCGGCTCTCTGTCTGGATGCATTAGGAGCTGCTGCTGCTGCGCACCCTTGTCCGCAGCTGCAGCAGCAGCAGCAGCAACAGCCCTTTCTGCCCGCACAAACTTGTCCTTCAGCAGCGGCTGCTGCAGCAGCGGCAGCAAATGATGCAGCAGCAGCGCAGCAACCCGATGCAGCGTGGGCGAGTCCCTTATGTTCATCCCATAATAAGCAGCAAAGAAGAGACCCTCGCCACTCAGCCCATCTGCTGCTGCAGCTGCTGCTGCAGCTGCTGCTGCAGGGGCTCCTTCCTCTGCAGCAGCAGCAGCACCAGGAACTGCTGCAACGCCCCGCGCGCCTTTCTTCTTCGTAGCAATCAGCCGTTTGATTTGAAACTCTTCATCCAGCCCTTCATCTGCTGCTGCTGCTGCTGCTGCACTGCTGCTGCTGCTGCTGCGGGCTGCAGCAGGCGTCCCCTGTTGCCAGCGCAGCGCAGCAGCAGCAAGAGCTGCATGCAGCGCCAAGTGCGACAGCAAACTTCTGAGGGGCTGCAGCATCCAGCAGGCGAACTCTTGAGGAGCATCTTTGCTGCCTCCCCTGCTGCTGCTGCTGCTGCTTGGCGCGGCACCCGGAGCAGCAGTAGCAGCAGCAGCGGCTGCTGCTGCTGCTGCTGCTGTCTCCAGCTGCTGCCGCAAATACGCCGTGAACAGAGACATGTGGCTGCTCGGCAGCAGAGGGCCCAAAAGGCTGCAGCAGCAAAGAGACACAAAGAGACATAAGCTGCAGCAAAATGAAAAGAAGGCACACTAAGTCGGCGGCAGCAGCAGCAGCAGCAGCTGCTGCTGCTGCTGCTGCTGCTGATTTGCGCACGGCATATTAGTCTTGAAGCACGAACTGCAGAGCGCTACCCGAGGAGAAAAACATAGACGAAAAAGCAGCAGCAGCAGCAGCAGCAGCAGCAGCAAGTCAACTCGACACCAAGCAAATACGACATAGCAAGGCCGGCCGCCATACACTGGCAACTGCTGCAGCAGCAGCTGCTGCTGCTGCCGCTGCTCACCGCACAAACTGCTGCAGCACTGCAGTGCCTCTGCCTTCCCAGTTCATCTGCAGCAGCAGCTGCGCAAACGGAGCAGCACGCTCCAGCCTGAGCAGCAGCAGCAGCAGCAACAGAAGTAGCGAGGCGTAAAGCGCAGCAGCAGCAGCAACAGCAGCACGTAAGCAGCAACAGCAGCAGCAATGTCTGTAGGTTCAGCATCAAAAGTCTACAGCAGCAGCAGCAGCAGCAATAGCAACCTCAATGCACAGGGGATCCCCATGAGCGCACGTTATTACTACTGCTGCTGCAACAGCAGCAGCAGCAGCATCTGCTGCTGCTGCTGCAACAACTGCTGGTGCTGCTGCTGCTGCTTGTCTCACCGCTCAGTGTCTGCCACAGTTTCACCACGTAGCAGCACGGGGGAGCTGCTGCAAAATTCGCCGCAGCAGCGACAGATTTGCTGCTGCCGCTGCAGGATCTGCTGCTGCTGCTGCTGCTGCTGCACCTGCTGCTGCTGCTGCTGCTGCACCTGCGGCTGCTGCATTGCCAGGTCTGCCGGGGAGACCTCTTCCACCTTGACAGCGATGGGCTTGCAGCTCTTTCCATCAGCAGCATCTGCTGCAGCAGCAGCAGCAGAAACTGCAGCAGTAGCAGCAGCAAAGGAGGAAACTTTCTGCAGCTGCTCATTTAGAGGCAGCAGCATCGATTCAGTGAGCGCATCTGACCAATGCATGTAGAACACCGTCGCTTGCTGCTGCTGCTGCCGCTGCTGCTGCTGCTGCTGCCGCTGCTGCTGCTGCTGCTGGTCTTGTCCAACGAGCTGCTGCTGCTGGTGCTCCTGATGATTATCGTGTTTAAGCTGCTGCTGCTGCTGCTGCTGCTGCCCCGGCGCGACAAGTGCCTCTTGGAGGCAATGAAGGGACAGTGACAGCACAATCTTCGTACACTGCTGCTGCTTCTGCTGCGGCTGCTGCTGCTGTTGTTCCTGCTGCTGCTGCTGCTGCTGCTGCGGTGCGGGGGAGATGTCGAGTGAAGCTACAGGGGAGCCGCTGCTGAGCAGCAGCTGGTTTGGCGCTGCAGCAGCAAAGGAAATTCTGCTGCTCCTGTCGCTGGGGCTGAAGGCAGCAGCAGCAGCAGCAAAGGAGATGTAGAGCTTGCAGACCTGCAGCAGGGGCAGCAGCAGCTGCTGCAGCAGCAGTCCCGGCCACACCAAAACTGTTGCTGCTGCTGAGGTGGCTATACACTCCAAACACGGCGGCGAATTTACCCGCCGAGAAGCTCTCAGCTTTTGTGGGGTGTACAGACACCTCCTGCCTTGACCACCTACCAAGTGGCGCACTGCTGCTGCTGCTGCTGC